TCTCCGCACCATCTTAGATACCATTAGAAGAGAATGTGTGTGCGGCTCAGGGTTGAACTAGGATGTCCTTGGTGGTCTTTGAGCTTGGTGGTTTTCTTGCAGACGTTTCATGACTCCAACAGGTAACATTATCAGTGTTAGAAGAGAGCAGGGTTCGTGGGGAGGAGGAGGAGGAGGAGCAGCGGGTTTCTTGACCGAACTCAGCAACGGGGAATGGGGTTTGTGAAGAGGAGGAGGAGAAGGAGGAACTGTGGGGTTCTCTTGGTGTTCTCTGAGCTTGGTGGTTTTCTTGCAGACGTTTCACGACTCCAACAGGTAACATTATCAGTGTTAGAAGAGAGCAGGGTTTGTGAGGAGGAGGAGGAGGAGGAGCAGCGGGTTTCTTGACCGAACTCAGCAACGGGGAATGGGGTTTGTGAAGAGGAGGAGGAGAAGGAGGAACTGTGGGGTTCTCTTGGTGTTCTCTGAGTTCTCTGAGCTTGGTGGTTTTCTTGAAGACGTTTCATGACCCAACTCGATAACGTCATCAGTGCTAGAAGGGAGTGGGGTTTCCTCTCTATTTTATCTCTTTTAGATGTGTCATCCCCAACCTTTCTGGCTCCCCAGATTGGCAGTGGCGGCGGCGGTTGTGGTGGGGGACAGGGGATGGTTTTGCATGCGTGCTTTCCGCTTTGGCAAATGGAGCTTCGCACACTTGCGCCCTTGCCCACTGCTTTGCGCAGCCCAGTTCCCAACGGGGCCACAGACTGGGTCCAGTCTGCAGACCAGGGAGGGTTAGGGATCCCTGTCTCAGATAACAAGAAACAAGGGGAAGAAGCCGGCGGTTTGCAACGAGACAGAAGATAGTCAGACCTCTGGAAATTTGTGGGTGGACAGAAAAGGGGACCAGTGGAATTTGGAGAGCTGATGTCGCAAACACCTTTTCAACATGTCCTCTGCCTCCTCTCTGCAAAATACACACCGTCCTTCTTCTTTTGCAGTGTTTTCCAAAGTTGGCAACTGGAAGATGGTGGACTTCAACTCCTGGAATTCCCCAGCCAGCCATGCTGCAAGAGAAGGTCCCTGTCGGGTGAAGAACATGGATGGACCTGGACTTAAAGCAGGATGGGCAAGGGTTTAGGGAAGGTGAGGTAGTCTCAGGGCTGGTTAGAGGATGAAACTTGGGAAAAGCAGGAAAGGGAGAAGAGGGAGGAGGCCGTGGCAACGGAGTAACCTTTTCTGCATCACTCAAAAAACATTCAGATGTTCGGAAGAGGGAGAAGTGAGTCAGCCAATCGTGTAGGGAAACACGACGCACCTTTTCCTAAAGCAAAGTTTTCAACAGCAGCATCCCTGAAAGAAAATGGTTTCTTAGCGAGAAGACGGTCCTGTCCTGTCCACGCTGCGCCAGGGGTCACCGCAGCGATGGCTTCTCCCGAGCGATTTGCATAAGTCAAGATCCAGCACATCAGATGGCGGTCGAGGCCCGCCTGTGCGCTCAATAAATCAGGGTTCACAGGGAAGAGAAATTCAAGTGTGCGTAACGGGGGATTTACAATCGTGGTTCCCCCCTAAACCTGGATGGCTCTGAGGGAAACAAAGCAGATGTGCGTGCACATGAAAGAGCTGGTTTGGCGGGGGAGGAGGAAGAAGTTATGGCTGAGAGCAGGAGCTGTTCACATTGGTGACCGACCGGCAGCTGATCTTCCGGATCGAGTGGAGGGCGACGGTGCAGCAGCCCCGCAGCAGAGAGCTGATGTTGTAAACGGGCTGCCCCTGCCTCTGCTGCGAACGGCACAGCCAGGCGACTGTAGGCACAGCTGGCACGACCACCGCCAAGAGATCTACAAGGAAGTGGCGGCTCCAGTAAGTTTTGGGCTCCGCTGGGGCTGCTGCCCCTGCAGTGTCCTCTCCTTCATCGGTTGCCTCGTCTTCAGGGGTGCAGACGATGCTCACGGAAGGGCTGGCGCTGCACGGCTGATGCACGGCTGGGTTTTGCGAGGCCGGCTGGCCATCGGGCTTTTCTCCCGCACTGACCACGACAACCGAGAAGGGTTCGGGGGCCGTCGTGTCCGTGGGGTTCGAGCAGTTGGCGACACCACTCTCGAAGCTGGTGGGCTCGGTCACTTCCTCTATCTCCGAGGGCCACTCCGAGGTGGGGCTGGCGAGGCTGCCCGCTTGAGACTTCATGACCTTCTCCAAGATGGTGTCCAGATCTGGCTGGTAATGTCCAAAGTCTGTCTGGATGGCTTGTTCCTGCATGCAGCTGGCTTGTACGGCGGCTTCCACGCTCTGCAGCTTCTCGTACGTGGAGCTGGTGGGCATCTGGGACCCCAAGGTGTAGGAGGTGTGCAGGGACGAGGCGTCGTCGGGGCCACACTCCACCCCTGAGGACAGGAGGCTGCTGTGGTCCAGCAAATCTGTCCGGCTCAAGGAGTTCTCGGCAGCCACGAAGCCGCTATCAGCTCCGTCGTCCACCGAGATGGTTTGAGAGCCACCGATGTTCCTGTCCGTCGCTCCCTGGTCACTCAACTTGGTGTACGTGGAACTGCGGGTGAGGGAGCGGGCAGGGGACCCCCCGGCTGACTCAGCGTGCCCTTCCTCTTTGACCGTCCCGTCCTGCGCCACCTCCATGCAGTGCAGCAGCGTCTCCAGCTTCTTGTTCTGAATGTTGATGTCCACAAAGTACTTTTGGAGGCCTTTGTCTTTCTCGATCAGGTTGTTTTTGACGGTGTCGATGACCTGCTTGAGCTGCTTAATCTCTTTCCGGGCTTCTTTGAGGGCCAGCTGGGCCTCCACACGGTGACACTCCTCCTCAATCCAGTCTTCCTGCATCCGGGAGAGCTGGGTCTTCAGGTCTTCAATCTCGCCATCCCTGCAGTGGACGGAAAAGCAGAGGGTCATTGGGCTGGTGGCAAGGTGGGCTCAGGATTTAGTTAGGGCATCGGTTGGAAACCTGACACGGGGATTATCACCAGGCAACCAAAGTGAAAACAATATCCCAATCAAGAAATTACCAAAGAGAAAACCATACTCCCACCAACATTGGCAGGGAAAGCTACTGTATATAAACAGGAAGCAAACTCCACACTTACTCACACTGATGATGTTCCCTAGCTGGGTCATGAAATGTCTCCAAGAAAACAACCAAGTTCAGAAAGAACCAACACCCCACAGTCGTCGTTGTCCCCCTCCTCCTCCTCCTCTTCCTCCTCCTCTCCTATTCCCCCATTCCGCAAACCCCATTCCCAGCTAGCACTGATGAGCAAACTCCACACTTACTCACACTGATGAGGTTAGCAATAGCAATAGCAGTTAGACTTATATACCGCTTCATAGGGCTTTCAGCCCTCTCTAAGCGGTTTACAGAGTCAGCATATCGCCCCCACAGTCTGGGTCCTCATTTCACCCACTGTTGTCATATAACTCCTTGTGTAGGTGTGGCGGTCACCCATGGCCCA